AAACAAAAGAAAATCAAGATACACATAAGCAGTCTGAGACTCCCAAGTTCTTTGGAGTAGTCTTTGGAATACTGTGTGCACATTATATTTCTGTGGTTCCAGTCTGAAAAAATGCATACAAAATCAATTCATAGGAAATGGAGTGTCTCTATTATTTTTCTTTTGGACACAGCTGCATACCCTGTTATGTTAATAGGTTTTGTAGCTAATTAATGTGTTAGGTTATTTGAGTGCACTGCAGTAGCTGTACAGCTACTGTAATATCTCTCTGGCCCGGTGTTTCCCAACCACTGTGCCGCGGCACATAGGTGTGCCATGAGAAATGATCAGCTGTGCCGACAAAGATTATTTGCAATAGACAAATATTTGAAATGAAATAGTCTGACCTGGGTCCTGGAGAAAATTCCGACCCAGATGAGGGCCCGAGCATGAGTAGTGGTCAGAAGAAAGCACAAAACGTATACTGGGGACAAACTGAACTATTTCTGCTATACCTAGAGCACAGGAAAAAATTATCAATATGCTTTTCGTGACTTTTTTTTTTTTTTTGTGGTGTGGAAATTTTGTGGGTGATTTCTCCAAATTGGAAATATGTGCCATGGCTGGGAAGGTTGGGAAACACTGCTCTATCCACCTGTCAAGGACGGTCATACCATTATGTAATTACCTACATGTTTACGTTTCCATATTTTAGATTTTCAAATAAAATAAGTGGTGTTCAGTGTGTTTACTTGGGAGTTAACAAATAACTCCCATCGTCACACACTAAAAACACACAATTAAAGAAAAACCAAACAAAAACAAGCTACACAAAAGCAGTGTGAGAATATCAAGGTATCTTCATGGCCCTTGTTTGAATAACCTTTTGGGTACTATGTGCCCCTTATATTTTTGTGGTTCCAGTCACAGAATTGTGTCACATCTTCTTCCATTCAGCTGATTAAAATGGAACCAGGGAATTGTGATAGAAATGCACCTGTTTCGTTTCCATGTTGATTTACCAGTCTCTCATTGGCCTGGGCGGGTATAAATACAGTTAATACACTGTGACACAGTGTGACTGTGTTTTGTTTTTTTTGTCCACTGAAAGCATGAAGTTGTTCATCCTGGTAGCTCTCTTTGGGCTCAGCCTTGCCCAGCACAACCCAAACTTTAAGCATGGAAGGACTTCCATTGTCCACCTGTTTGAGTGGCGTTGGGCTGACATTGCTCAAGAGTGTGAACGCTTCTTGGGTCCCAAAGGTTTTGGTGGAGTTCAGGTATGTATAGCTGATATATAACTAAATGAAAGGTGTTTTATTTTCAAAAATGTATATTATTATTATTTTTAAACTTATTTTCAAAAGAGTCCACCCCTTTGGACAAGATGCAGGAAATGGTTGCAAAATTACTACAGATGCAACTATAAAGATTACGAAAGATGAAAGAATTGAAAATGAAACAGTGAACAAAGTGATAACTACCACATACTAGAATTATCCAACCAGTTGAATTTACCCTGTTTGATTGTCACATGGACTACTTTGCATATTCTGATTGGAAGTGTTTGTTTTTTTTGTTTTTTAAAGAGGCAGGTTTGGTGAGATTTGACCACAGGAGTTAAGATTTCAAACTTACTAAGTTCCTTAAAATCAAATCTGTTTGAACATGGCAAGTCAAATGTATTTTTCTGTTGTGTAACAGTTTATGTTATATCAACGGATTTTTCCACTTATACTAGTATCAGTATAACGTCTTTAGTGACAATTTTAGTAACAATCTTCTATCACCATAATTAATTAATAGAATTATCATTCAGACTGTATTATGTTTGTGCTGATCTATTGCTCAGATCTCTCCTCCACATGAGCACGTTCTAGTGAGCGATCCATGGAGGCCCTGGTGGCAGCGATACCAGCCAGTTAGCTACAAGCTGTGCTCAAGGTCTGGCAGTGAGGCAGAACTGAGAGACATGATCACCAGATGCAACAAAGTTGGGGTAAACTAAATTACAGTTGTGACCGAGTCATAAGCATGAAAGACCTATCTGCATTTGATTGCACATTGTAAATGTGTATGATTATATAAAACAACAAGTTGGAAAATGAATATTGTAAAAACACTGACTGGCAATTAATAACAAAATAATAAAGATTGACAATTTACAAGACTGACTGTATTTGAACGTATTATGCAAGAAAAGTCAAGGAAACTGCTAAGTTATTGGACACAAATTTTGATGTGGTGAACTGCATCCTCACCAATTATTAAATCCCAACAGGTTAACATCTACGTAGACACCCTTATCAACCACATGTGTAAAACCTTCAGTGGAACGGGAACCCACTCTTCATGTGGAAGCTGGTTTGATGCTGGGAAAAGAGACTTCCCCAGTGTTCCTTATTCCTCCTTGGACTTCAATGACCAAAAATGCAAGACTTCGAGTGGCAATATTGAGAACTATGGTGACAAATATCAGGTAAGAAATGTTATCAAAAAACAATGTGAGACATTTTTTTTAGTAGAGGATATCCATCAATACTTATCCAAAAGTTTAATCTTTTACCAACTGTCTGAGTTAATCATTACTTCTTTCTGTTATTTTTTCGGTGGTATGGTAGTGGGGGGTGGTAATGTACAGAAAGGGTGTAGAGTTCAACACATTGCTTTTAAAACGACATTTCACTAAGCGAAGAAACGTTTCTTTCTATTTCCAAACAACCTCTGAATACAGTTTTGAATTAGATTATTACTTGTTTTGTACATGATAAGTGTAGTGTGAAGATCGATACAACTGGAACATTTTTAGGTGAGTAGTTTAATAAATATTAAAATGGTTTACTACTTTTGTTGCTGTTTGTTTTTATTTTTATTTTTATTTTTATTCTTCAAAAACCCCACAAGGTGAGTGATATGAGGAGCTATTTGGCAACAAACAATATAATTATTTTTGGTGATATAATTTTTTCTGGATAATTTGAGATCAGTTGTTGTGACAAAATGTATTTCCAGTCATTCTTTCTATTAAAAGATCATTTATTTCTTTTACAGATTACACTGGTGATCTGAGATCTATAGGTTTTGTTTTGTTTTTTGTTTTTTTTACAAAACACCTTTTATTCCTTGTCATCCATCACATATGATATGCACTATACTGCCAAAAGTAACTCTTACTTAATTTACTCACGGATCCAAATCATTAAATTCAGATGTTCCTATCACTTCCGTGGCCACAGGTATTTAAAATCAGGCACACAGTCATGCAGAATGGTTGCATTCTGGAGCTCAGTGAATCCAGCATGGTACCAAGATTGGATGCCACCAGTGCACCAAGTTCCACTGGTAAAATTTCTTCTTGGGTCCAAATGCTGAATAAAATATTAACTGTTACAGGTACGTGACTGCCGTCTGGATAATTTGCTGGATCTTGCCCTGGAGAAAGAATACGTTAGGGGTAAAGTGGCCGAGTACATGAACAAGCTTATTGACATAGGCGTGGCTGGATTCAGAATGGATGCCTGCAAACACATGTGGCCTGGTGATCTGAGCGTTGTCTATGGTCGTCTGAAAAGCCTTAACACCCAGTGGTTCCCCAGTGGCTCCAGACCTTTCATCTATCAGGAGGTAAGTTTTTAAAAAAAACATTTTGGTGAAATAAATAAATACTTTAGCATGTTTTTCAGTTTTCATGAAATCGTAGGATTTGATAAGTCTTAGAGTTTACATGTCCTTTATATGTGACTGAAATGTAGAACAGATCTTGGTTCATATTTTATCTTGCAGGACAGGAAACATTAATGTAATTATTGTTTTGCAGAGACCAGAATAGCACTGTAACATGGTAAATGGCCTGTATTTGTATAGCGCTTTACTTAGTCCTTATGGACCCCAAAGCGCTTTACACTGCATTCAGTCGTCCACCCATTCACACTGGTGATGGCAGCTTTCCAGTTGCCAGCCAAACACATACCAACAACAACAATAACGCAGGAGTTAGCCCACACTTTAAGCCAGCAAGGCATGATCAGGTGCATCCACCTCCCCTGCAGTGGCACCGCAGACCCCTGTGAGTGGGAGGGGGAATCAGCCTGGACCGCTGCCCCTGCCCCAGCGACAGGGAGGTGTCCATTCAATTGGCCGCCCGCGTATTCAGTGGGAGAGGTGACAAGGTGGGTCTGAGGGCTGCGCTCGTATGTCCAGCGATGGCCCTGGAGATGGTCTGGGGACCACCCATATGGCAAATGGCGGCAGCTACGAGCCAAGGCTCACTGGCAGCTCGACAGGCGGAATACACGCGGGACCTAACCACGCGCTTGTCTCTAGTGGAGATAGGACAGGTCCAGCCAGTGTGCTGGCCTCTGGTGTGGACCAGCCAGCACAGGTGATCACAGGCATAGCAGGACCCTCGCGCACCTCCAGGTGCGTGAGCCGGTGGTTGCTCGGTGGCTCTCTTCCGGGGAGCAGGAACAGGTGCAGGCCACAGCAAGGCACCTGCCGCTCTCTCCCAAGGAATGGTGACGTGTGCGGAGGCAGGCTGTGTCCTGGCTGGCCTCACCCTGGGGGCCTGAACGGGCGCTGGAACAGTCCGGACCTCCGTTCCCATGCCGTCACGGGTCGTGGATAGGGCTGGCGGCGGTGTTGACCAGGGACCAACACCTGGTCCTGCAGTTCTTCCCACCGCCGTCTGCCCCCATTGCGTGGCCACCAGCTCGGCTGCCATTTGGATCAGCTTCTTCCCTTGCTGGCCCAGTCCTGGGTTTTGGCACCACTGTAACATAACCAATGCAGACCCGATGATGTTCACATGCTTTTCAGCATCTCGATATTAACACTCAAGTTGCTGCTGGCTGTTGCAAACACACACAGCTGCAGCTTTCCAGTTGCCAGCTGAACACATACCAACTACAACAATAATGCAGGAGTTAGCCCACACTTTAAACCGGTGAGGGGTAATTGGGGATCCCACTCAGGTGAGTCTGCCTAAACTGCAGCAGCACTGCACAAAATAAGAATCTGTACAAATAGATGCCATCATCTGGCATTGTTCTTTCTTTCTTTTTTCTTTACTAAAATATGTGACGGTTTGAAACATATACAGTTCATGCAATAACATCATTAGATAATTTAGTACTACTTATTAAACCCTTCTCACTTTTCAGACTATAGTATCAGTTTTTTCTTTTCGCTCTAGGTTATTGATCTGGGAGGTGAGGCTATTTCATCCAATGAATATGTCAGCCTTGGAAGAGTGACTGAGTTTAAATATGGTGCAAAACTGGGAGAGGTCTTCAGAAAGTGGAACAACCAGAAGCTTTCCTACACTAAGTATGTGTTGCTTCTACTGGTATAGCTAAGGAAAATATTACACAATTTAATAAAAAAGTTTTTTTTTCTCTTTTTTGTTTTTTTTAGATATAACAGAGATATGTCATTCTTAACAATGCTCTTTGTAAAGGAAAAACAAAATCATAGAAACTACTATAAATGTGCAGGGGCCAGCCAATTTGGTTGCATTTTAAGTTAAGTTAAAGTCAAATGCACATCCATCATATGTTGACTTTTTGAAGAGCAGAATTTTACAGGAGGGAAATTTTGCTTTACCATGTGCAGGATACATCCATTTCAAGTATTAATGGACTCTCAGTTAATGTCAGACCATAACCCATCAGCTGGCTGGCTTGCCGATGAACCCAGTGAAGTCATGTAGTGAATCATGGCCATAAATATCAATAAATACTTGTTATATTAATCATTGGCACTCACCCCAACACCACTTTTATTTTATTTTTTGCTTTACCTTGATTACTTTTCCCCATGTCTTTTTCTTTCTGAAGTAC